TCATTCAGGGGCTGCAGCCTGGCCTGCCTGTGGGCTCTCCCTCATGTGCAGAGGAGCTGGGTTTGAATCCCTGCTCTGCCACTGACTGGGTGTGTGACCTTGGGGAATCTGTGCCTGCTGTGGGCAGTGGTGTGTTATTGTCGTACTGGTGTATGCTGCTTTGTTAGCACTGGGGGCTTGTTCTCCTTTTAGAAGCAGTGCAGGGAAGCCTATGTTTTGAAGTCAGATCTTGAGCAAAGTGGTGGGGTCAACAGGAGCAGCTCAAATTCCAGGCCCGTCAGTCTGGACAGGATCCCCGTGGTCCAGCAATGGGCAACCCAGGCTAGTGAGTGGGCCGCATGAGTGGCCCTTCTTCACCCCAGTGGGCCATGAGATTGTTGTAAGCAAGACGGTCTCCTGGGATAGGACAGGTTTGCTCACTGCACCTGCGTCCCTAGAATTTGCGGGCTGGGCCGATTGAACCGTAGCTGCGCTTTGATGGGATGCAGAAGGAGCCCACAGCTCTCGCAGTCAATGCTGTGTGCAATCGGCACGTCCCTCACTTCACCAGCCCTGGCTTTACGTGCGTGTCACTTTCGTAGGAAAACAACTATGTGGATGAAAACCGGCAGAGTCTGGCAACCCGGTGTGACAGCAAGTCAGGGTTCCCCTCCCGATCCTGCAGCCCCGTAGCAGCAAGAACAGGCTCCATCAGCCAGTAGAACAGAGAGGGTTTATTGCTTCTCCAGGATACAGCACAGCACAGACGTGATGTGGCTACAGGAGTCAGGGCCGAGATCCCTCAGACCCCTTGAGATGGGGTGCCTGGGCCCCTAGACTCCCAGTCCCCACCTTAGTCTATCTCCTTCATGGTTCCAGCCAAAGACTGACCCTTCCCCCAACACTCACTTCCTTTGTTCCGTCCCTTTCCTTAACCGGTAGGACCGGTTCGGTCACTGTCATGGGGACCTCAAGCAGGGCCGGCTCGAGCCATTCCTGCGCCCCGTGCAGCGGGCGCGTGACGCATGCGCGGCCCTGCCCCCCGGCGCACTGCGCACCTTTCAGCTGCATTCGGGCGTGCGGCGCCTGATGGCAGCTCTAAGGGGCGCTGTGCAGCCCCCAGCCCTGGGCGCATGGCATCCCTTACAGCTGCCATCAGGCGCCCCCACCCATAGGTTGGCACCCTGGGCAGCTGCCCGGCTAGCCCCCCCCTTAATCCAGCCCTGCCCTCAAGGCACCCTCTGCTGGGCCGTGCTTACAGACAGCCCACAGCCCAAGCACAGCAACCAGCAGCGTACTGACACTACATCTCACCCTGTGCATGGCCCATGGCAAACAAAGTGGCTCATGGTCCATAGATAGACCCCTGATGGGTTGCAGGTTGCCCACAACTGGTTTAGCTCTTCAACCACAGCCCATGCCATTCTGGGGCTGCTTTGTTGGACAAGCCAGCCAGCCACCTGCAATCTCTGACTGTCATTGTTCCGTGCAAGGAGCCATGTCTGTCCACAAGGAGCTGCCTGAGCCACTTGCTTCTTTCATGGCCTTTCTCAACATCACAGACACGCCTGCTCCAGCAGGGGGGACAGATCAGCTCTGCCTGCCTGATAACCTGGTGCATTCCCATAAGTAACCTCTGAGCTCAGCCTGCCAGGCTCTGTGCAAAAGGCATTTGCTGCTCACCCCACATGGGTTATTCATGAGGTTCAAAGTCAGGAGAATTCTTCCACCCTCTCTGCCTGGAGCAATGGCTAGAGTGAGTCATGGATAAGGTGAATTTGTGCCGTGGGTGTTTGTAGTAAAAGCCAGGGACAGGTCGCAGGCAATAAACAGAGATTCGTGGAAGCCATCCTTCATTTGCAGTAAATACCCTGGACTCTGGAGGAGGGCTAACCGTGGGAGCCCTGCTAAGGGCTGAGCTCCTGCCCTGAGGGGTGACGCTCCCAGGCCCTGCTCCTGGGTGGGGGCTGACAGCTGCCCCAGCCCTACCGCTGTGGAGGCTTCAAGCCTAAAAAGTCACAGAGACCCATTAGTGTCACCAAGTCCGTGACCTGCCCGGTGGAATCCTAGCCTGACTCGGGAGTCATTCTAGATGGCTGATGAGCCACGGTGAACGACACTGGCAATGGGGCTCTGGCTGGTGTCAGGAGGAATCACCACATGCACCTGCCCCTTCAGGCTGGAATTATACCTGCCCCGGGGTTTGAGATGGCCTTGGTAGAAACCTGAGCCGAATAGAAAAGTCCCAGCGGCTCACTCCACGAATGGCGCTGCCTCCCAGCGCAGCTAGCAGATGCCGGTGCATATGGCAATGCGAGGCAGACGCCCTCGGCCCCAGCGTGGAGGCTACGTCGCTGCAGCCCAGAGTGGACGTGCTAACGGGTTGGCTTAGGATATCTAGGTTCAATTCCTGGGTCAGACACTGTGTGATACTGGGCAAGTCACTTAATCTAGCCAGGGCCTCCGCTCCCTGCCCTTGCAACCTGGGGGTGTCCTCCCTCCCTTGGTGGAAGCCAGTGTGCTCCCCTGGCTGAACCACGCAGGAGCATGTTGGGGGTCTAGTCCTGGCTCTGCCAGCAGCAGCCTGTGGGGAGACTTTGCCCAAAGGGTCGGAGCCTACCTGGACAGAGCGGCTGGCTGGCTGGTGGCCGCAGCAGAGCCTTGTGCCGTGCCGGTGAGGGGAGCCATGATGGGAGGAGCAGGGAAAGCTCTCCTGCTGGCAGATGGGGAGGGAGTGGGCATGTGGGTTATTTCCTGCAGCTCCTGCCGCCCCCTCAAGGGGGCTGGTGGCCATTGTGGGGAGCTCCCTGCCGGAAGCGGGGTGAGAGAGGAAACTGCCCAGGGGGCAGGTGAGCTAGCAGGGCCCTAAGGGCAGGGGACGGTTGCTCTAGTGAGCGGGGTGACAGCCAGCAGAGCTGACACAGCTCTAGATCCACTGAGGCCCCCACCTTGCAGCTCACTGGGACTTGGTCTTGCTTTGCAGATGGACAGAGGTGAGTTCCAGCAGGATTCTGTCCTCAAGCAGCTGGAGGTGCTGAAGGAGGAGGAGAAGGAGTTCCAGAACCTGAAGGTGAGTGGCAGCTGCTGGGCCTGGCTCCGGCCCCTCCCCCAGCCCCTCCCCAGGCCAGGGCCCCCGTGTGCCAGGTGCTGCACAAACGCCTAGGCAGAGCGCTCCGGCCCGGAGAGCTCAGTGCACACAGACACGCCAGAAGGGAAACAAGGACCGGCAGCTGTCCCCAGGGTCCCCAGAAGAGATAGTTACTGCCTGGTTGCCCACTGGGTCAGGCTGCCTCAGGCGGCAGCCTCGAGACGCTACATTCGAGAGCCCAGTCCCATGTAGGGTTGCCAGGTGTCCGGTTTTCACCCGGACAGTCTGGTTTTTGTGGCCTCTGTTTGTTAAAAAAAAAAAGAAAGAAAATATTGGACATGTAAAATGTCCAGTATTTTCTGTTTTTCTCGGCTGGAAGGCCAGCAGGGACATTCTTCCCCTGCTGCATCTGGGAAGCGGGGAGCATGGCGATTTAAAGGCACAGCAACCTTTTTTTTTTCTCAACAAGTTTGGTTCCCCCTCTCCTTGTTTTTTTTTTTTTTTGCTCAACCAATTTTTCCCCCCTCCACGGTTGGGATTTTTTGTGAAAGTATCTGACAACCTTAAGTCCCAGGGAGCAATAGGAACTACAAGAGACAAGTGTAGGCGCACATTTTGCCCAGGTCTCAGCACACATGGAAGGCTGAGCACTGCATGCCTTCAGAGCCTGTCTCGCCAGGGTTTCCAAAGAGCTCGGGAGTAGCTGTCCTTTGCAAACCGGGCCCTAGTTGTAAGGGCAAAACGCTTGCAAATCTGCCCCCGTAATCTGGAGGCAACCATCTGTAAATGGAAGCGCAAGCTGCTGTATGCTGACAGGACACAATAAAGCCGCCTCCTCTTGGGGAGGGCAGGCGTAGTCAAACCTGAGCCACCAAAGTGATGCTGACAGGTGGTCGTGGGCACAAGCCCTCAGTTGGAAGTTGGGACAGTGCCCAGACTTATCATCCAGGCTGCTGCATGTCCGCACTCCCTCCCTTGCAGCACGGACAGACCCCAGCCTCCCAGCCGGTGTGCTGCAGAAGTGCCCCAGCTGTTGTCTTGGGAAACACATCGGTACAAGCTTTCTCCAATGACTCGGCCTCCCAAATCAGAGGGAATGACTCACTCCAGCGGCAGCATCAGGCTCCCACCAAACCTCCCTGGGGTCCCCTCCTTGAGTCACACCCGATCCTGGCATGGTCTCCCGCCTCCCCTCCCCCAGGCCTTCCACGCAGGAGGTGTAAATACAGTCAGGGCCAAGCCGGGCGGCAGGGGAGTGGAGGCTGGAGAATTGAGGCCTGCGCCCCATTTACTCTAAGGTCCTGTTACACCACTGCAGCAGCATCACGCAGACTTAAGCCGCAGGGGCAGAGACGCCTAAAACAGCCTCAGGGCAAAGGCGAGTCAGGCCCAGGGGGAGGGGAGCAGCCAGAGACCGTTTAGATAGAACAACTTGTACTGCTCTTTATTCCGAAATAACCCCCCTGAGGTCGAATTTATAAGCGAAGCATCCACGCTACCAAGCCCGTTATTTCGCAATCTGTACTCCTGCTTTTGTCGGGGAATACTGCTCATTTCGAAATAGTGATTTCGAAATAGCGGTCGTGTGGATGCTCCAGTGCCGCTCTTTCGCAAAACTCCTCCCCAGAGTCAGTCAAACGAATTACTCCCCAGTGCTTCCTGGGGCTCCAAGTCTAGGTTCTAATTTCGAGGCTTCCCCATATTGGGGATATGCTATTTCGATGTTGTATTTCGGGAGCAATTAAATCGATTTGCGTGATTTCGAAATTGTTCCTAGTGTAGACGCGCCCTGAAAACCAGCTTCAGCCTTTCGACTCCCAGGCCCTGGGCCTGACAACCACATCCTGCCACTGGCCACCCTCTTGGCATGATGGGACCCTCCTCCCCTCCCGTCGCTCAGCTTGGCCCACCCGAGGAAAGGGGATCATTGCCTTTGTCTTCCAAGAGGGGGGAAATAACTAAATAGGGTATCATATTTAGCCGAGCTGTTTCCATAGCAACAGAGAAGAGGCCTTCATCATGACTGTCTCAGCCCTTGTTGGTCCCTGAGCCCTCCCTCTCTGGTTGCCAAAGGGGAACAAGGAAAAGCCGGTAGGGCTTTCAGCAGACATCCATGACAGCAAGAGCAGACCCTGTAGCTGCATGGGCTGTGAGGCCAGGCTAAAAAGCCAGGCCAATTGCAGCTTCTTGCATCTGCAGAGTTACCAAATGCTCCCTCTCATCCCTGTCCTCATGGGCTCTGGATGGCTCAAGGAACAGGGTCTGTGACCCAGCGCTCCATTGCCTCCAGTTCCTTGCCCTACAGCAGAGCCAGGTCAGCAGTGGCTGCCAGCCATTCTCTGGCCAGCATGTCGTGAGTTTGGAAGGGCTCAGCAGACCTCAGACCAGACTGTAGGGCCGAGCACTGCAGGAACAGCCTGCCAAGAGGCCGCAAGGCAGACTCTGCCTACAGACCTGTTTACAAAGCAGTTGTCCTGGATGCAGGGCCATGCTGTATTACTAACAGGACCTTAGCCACGTTCCCCCAATGCACCCCAAACTGGTCACAAGATTCCTGAATATAAATCCAGGATGTCAACCCAATGATTTGGCAAGGCAGTGGTCTGCCCTTGTTCCAGCAGGCCTCTTTCCGGCTCTCAGCCCAGGTCCTCTGTGACTGGTCTTTCCAGAAACCTCTCTGATGCAGCCCTAGAAATGCTTTGTTTTGATTCTGAAATGTATAAATCAAGTAAGGTAGGGCCAGATCCCCCAAAGGTATTTAGGTGCCTCATTTTCTTTGGTTTCAATAAAAGCGATGTGCCTAAATATCTGTGCAGATCGAAGCCATAGCACAAAGGGGGAAATCATGTGGATGCTTGATCCCAGAGGAAATCCGAAGCCAAACGGTCCATCTGAGACTGTTGGACGGAAGGGGCCCGAGACAGAAGGGGTCAGTGATGAAGATCTTCCCCACTCAGTCCCAAATTTCCCCATAGCCATTTGCCCCTGCAATGTCCAGTCCTCTGGCTATAGCCCACACATAACCTTGTTATGTTCACTGCTCCAGAAAAGAGACCCTACACACAGCTCTTTAGGTTAAGAGGGGTTATTTCAATCCCAGCTCTGAATTGCTATCAAGTAAAACAACAAGAAGCCCTCAATGTAAGTGATGTCAAGTAGAAGGAGAAAAGATAGAAAGGCTTACACACCAACAAAGAAAAGGGAAAACCTACTTCTGAGGCTAAACCTTGCCTTCAGCAAGTGTCCCTCTGCCTGAGCAGCATCCCACCTATCTTCACTGCTCAGCGACTTCAGCCCCCTTGGCTGACGTATCCAACACACAGGCCCTTTAATCCCCCAAGTGATTAAGAGACTATGGGAGTCTCTTCCCTGTCTCGGTAAAGTCCAGGTACATTTCAAAGGCCAGTCTTTGAAAAGTAACCCCAGACCAAGGTTCTCTCTCCTGCAGGGATATAGACACCAGCTGTCTTCCCAAAGTCAGCACGGGCTGTTCTTCCCCGCCTGTTGACTTCCCACCCCGTGTTGAATCATGTATAAATTGCTTTGATTCCACACTGCTTAATTTACATTGAAGCCAAATACATAACTGCCATCCCTCCTGGTTCTCCCTGTTTGGTCACAGACCTTAAAGCATAAAACCAGTGATCATCCCTAATACCTCAGTGTGTTAATTCAGACACTTCACAATGATCTGAATCAGTGGTTCTCTACTGGGGGGTAAACATACTCCTGCAGGTATATCAACTCATCTGGATACTTGCCTAGTTTTACAACAGGCTACATGAAAAGCACTAGCAATGTCAGAACAAACTCAAATTTCATGCAGATGATGACTTGTCTGACCGCTGTACAGACCATGCCCTGAAATGTACTATATCTATATTCCAGTTGAATTCTATGGTAAAAAGGAAAAAGTCAGCAGTTTTTCAGTAACAGTGTCCCAGGGCAGGGGACTGGACTCGATGACCTTTCAAGGTCCCTTCCAGTTCTAGGAAATAGGCAATCTCCATTAATTTAAATTTATTTAATTTTTGTATTTTATGGCTGATTTTGTAAACAAATAGTTTTTAAATAAGGTGAAACTTGGAGCAGGCATGCCCAATCAGATTCCTGCAAGGGATACAGTAGTATGGAAAGGTGGAGAGCCACTGATCTGAATCACAGTTGTGTTAGAGGTTTTCATAAAACTCAATATGCTTGTGTAACACAATAATACTGCATGCAATCAGCTGGTTCAGTTGCTTATCCCTGGAGGTGAAGACCTCCCTGTTTATAGATAAAAGGCCATGTGCCCCATGACTTTATTTACCTTCTATGTAAATGTGCCTTCATTGTCCCGGCCCAACACCAAGCTGGTCAGAGCTGCAAATCTACATTCCTCAGTCTAGGGCAAAATGGGCTTCTGACTTGTTTTCCAGACACATATTTAGGACATGATTCTAACACCTATTCACATCTCGGTATGTACAGCACACAAGAATATTAATGAGGAGCAAATTACTAGTTTTCCATGCTATGCTGCATGCCACTTTCTGGGTTTCTAGTTAGCATGTCAGGCCTGACACGGGCCCCCAAAGAGCCACTGTGTGTCTCAGTAATTTCTCTCTCCCTTAAGGACCCCACCAATGGCTACTACAGTGTGAATACCTTCAAGGACCACCACTCCACCCCCACCATCTCCCTCTCAGGCTGCCAGCCAGACCTGAGGCCTGCCAACAAGCAGCGGGTGCCCACGGGCATGTCCTTCACCAACATCTACACCACGCTGAGCGGGCAGAACCGGCTCTACGACTACAGCCAGCGCTTCGTGCTGGGCATGGGCAGCAGCTCCATCGAGCTGTGCGAGCGGGAGTTCCAGCGGGGCTCCATGAGCGACAGCAGCTCCTTCCTCGACACGCAGTGCGACAGCAGCGTCAGCAGCAGCGGCAAGCAGGACGGCTACGTCCAGTTCGACAAGGCCAGCAAGGCCTCGGCCTCCTCCTCCCACCACTCCCAGTCCTCGTCCCAAAACTCAGACCCCAGCCGGCCCCTGCAGAGGAGAATGCAGACACACGTGTGAGCTCCAGGGGGTGGGCAGGGACGGAGGGCCAGGGGGCCAAGACATGGGACGCTGAGGAGCCCCCAGCAGGTGGGAGCTGCTGAAGTGAGCTTGGCCCAAGCTTTAGTCCGTTTCTAATGAGTTTATGTTCCAAAGCACTTTTGTCCGTAGTAGAACTACACCCCATGGCTCCTGTGGGGTGCCGGGGGGAAGAAGGGGTGCCATTGGCAGCTCTGTCCTCCCTGAAGACTTGCAGTCTCCTGCTTGGCCCAGTTGGGCAATGTCTACTTGGGGCCATTGTGGGGGGAAGACTATGGCAGCCGAGACCAAACCAATTCAAGCACAAACCTGTTTCCTTCATGACGAAGGCTGGACCTGGAGGCTGTGGGAAGGGGGAAGGGGCACGTCTCGCTGCAACCTTGGCACTCAGCCCCCGACCAGAAACCAGAAGCCTCTTCCAGGGCGTTTTCCTCGGTGCCTCCTTTGGGGAGAGAGACACCTGCCATGCATGCCCTGAAGAGTCCTGGGAGCACGCAGTGAACCCCTCTGGAGTGCTTTGGGGAGGGGGGGCAAGAACCAACCAGACCTCTAGTCCCCCTCCTCACAAGAGCCTTCTGGTCTTTCAGCACGTACTTCACTTAACACGAGCCCTCAGCACCTGTTGGGCCACTGGCTTGGGGGGCTAGCAGGACAGAGGCCTCCCCACATCCTGCACAGAGCCACACCTGCTACACCCCGTTGGTTCCTCCCGCTCTCTACCACCTGGCTTTTCCTCTCTTCTGCAAGCCCTCCCACGGGGACTGCGTGCCCGCTGGGGAGCCGATGAGGGAGTCGCCTCAGAGGCCTTCCCCAGGGCGCCCTTCCTCCCAACTTCCCGTGTATCGCCGGAGGAGGACGTTCCAGAACACCCGCAGCTCACACACACACCCCCGACACACCCATCCCGTCGCTTGCAATCCCGTGACTCAGCGCCGTGGTTTCTGACCCCGAGAGGGTGTTGCTTCATTTAAGACCGTGCAACAGAACCGTGCCAGGTGTTGGTGTAATATAGGCGCCCTGACACTGCTCAATCGGGTTTTCTTCTGTCGTTTGGTGTTCAGTGTCCATCATACTACAGTGTGTCTGCGGAGTGATCCGGCGTGAGGGGTCCTCCCAGCTGCTCCACCGCAGAACACGTGCACCGGGGGACTCTGCCACAAGCCAGGAACTGTTGGCGGACACAGCCCACTGGAGGACTGTCCTTGCTGGAGTTAGGTGTGACAGTCACAGAGAGGACCCTCCCAACATGGGGTCCGCACACCAGCCCAGAGCAATTTCTTACTGCTGCTTGTGTATTGCCCCGATAGCACAACTGGAAGATTAATATAAGAGGTGTAACAAGCCCATCTGTGTCTGGTCCCTTTCGGGTTCTTTGGAAGCTATGAAATAAACACGTCCATCCTGGGAGGGCATGTACACCCAAGGTCACACTGCTTCTGTGCTTTTCAGCGTGTTGGTCTCCACGGGTCAGGCCTTGCTGTTTGTGGCTGGGTCAGATTTGGTATGGTATTTTTCCCTCATAGTGTGAAAATCTCATAACTTAGCTCTAGGGATTGGGCCTGGACAATTGTTCTCATTTAACTTTCCTATGGCAGAGCTCAAGCCCCGTTGTGCCAGGTGCTGTACACACACAGAGGCTCCTAGGCAAAATAGAGAGCCATGGCTGACCACTGTGCTTTGGTGGGTGGGGAAAATTCAAGCCCACCCTAGTACTGGACATGGGCTAAAATGATGGGGGAAGAAGATGGAACTTCTGACGGGTCAGAGGTTTGTTGCACTGGCAGACGCTTCTGGGGGGTTGGGCAGACACTTCTGGGGGGCGCTGTCTTGCCTCCCATAGGAAATAACAGGGCAGAATGTGACCCAGTTGTACTCTTAAGCCATGTTTACTAAAGCAGAGCCACAGCACAGCCCAAACCTAGAATAAGAGGAAAGCTTTCCCCCTAAAGTGTCACTATCTACATTAAATATGAATTCTACATGAAAACCTCTCCCCTTCTCTCAGTGAACAGCTCCGTTTAGTAAAGCTTTACGTTTCACCGTTCGTTTGTCCCTGTCCTTCATCACTCAAAGCAGATCGAGCAGCCTACGGGCCATTTTTCAAATGTTCCTAAGTCACTTTAAAACCTAAATGTTATTGAAAATCAATGGGGCTCAGATGCCTAGTCAGAAAGCATCCAGTTGCCTCTTCATCTTTAGACCCCTAAGTACATTCACTCGTCTCCTTGGAGCCTCAGTTATGACTGTAAATAACATCGAGTGGCCCTGTAGCACCCTAGAGACTAACAAAGATAGATAGATAGATAGATAGATAGATAGATAGTATCATGAGAGATCTTGAGTACAGCTCATTTGAAAAAGTAGCTTTTGCCCACAAAAGCTCATGATACTAAAAACATATTTTTATTAATCTCTAAGCCCTGGTCTACACTAGGGCATTATTTTGAAATAACAAGCAGAGCGTCCACACTGCCAAGCACGTTATTTCGAAATAAGGGGCTGGTCATTTTGAAATAATTCCCCAGCTTTCCTTGGGGAATAACACTTATTTCAAAATAGCGGTAATGTGGACGTGCCACTGCTGCTATTTTGAAATAACTCCTCCCCAGAGTCATTCAAAGTCTTAGCGCCCCAGGAAGCACTGGGGAGTAAAGTCGAGATAGCGCATCCACATTAAGGGAGGCTGCCTCAGACTAAATTCAAGGCTTCCCTATAGTGTGGACACGCTATTTCAAAATTGTTATTTCAGGCGTTATTCTGAAATAATTTCCTAGTGTAGACATGCCCTTAGGTGCCACAGGACTACTCATTGGTTTTAAAGTTACAGACTAACACAGCTACCCCTCTGAGTCTGTAAATAATATTTAAGCACTGAAGTCACTGGGATAGCTTCAAAACAATGTTGCCCTCAGTCCGATTCTGCTCTCCATTGTCCTGCCAAAGTAACACCCTTGGCTTCAGAAGAGTTAAGTCCTGATTTAGCCACATCTCGAGGCAAGACTTTGGCTTGATGTGCAAATGCTCTCATGCTTGAAGAAGCGTGGGAGCTTTCCTGGGGTTTTGAGTGGAAGCCAGCTCTCGAAAGCTAGGGATCACTGCCCCCTACTGTGGAACGCAGCACAGCTACTGAGTTCGCATGTCCATTTTGGGTGGCTCGCAACCGGGCAATGGGACCGAATCTGTTGCCTCCAGCTTCCCAGCCCAGAGCTGAGTCGGGCAGCAACAGGAAGCAGAAGGAGTCCTTGGGTTTCTTGTGCAAAGGGTAAGCATCTGTGAGCCATTCTCCGCTCAGAACCCGCTCCGCCAGCAGCACAGGTAGGAGCCATTGATCACTGAGGCCAGTGATGGTGAAGAGGTAAGGGACTGAAGTGAAAAGAAAGGACTGAGGGGCAGAGAAACTACAGCCGCCTGGTGGTCTGGGGTGACTCCATCCCATATTAACTACCACACCCTATTAGAAGTAGCAACTCACACACACACATTTTCCCCATTAAAAGGGGGCTGTAACTGAGGGAAGGGGTGTGCCAGACAGGGCCACTTATCCATCCAGCTGGAGGTAAAAATGCCCATGTTAGCTAGTGTATTGACAGCGCGGTACGAGTGCTAGAGAACGTCCCAGCACCTTGGATGGGCTCAGCTAGCCCCTCCCACCGCCATGGCTGTCCTCTGTGCCTGGCATGTTCCCCACTCCGCTAATGCGGGTGAGTCTCCTCCACCTGGGACATGCACCTCCTGCCTGCAATGAAGATGGGCCCGAGGCAATCACCTGATAGGCCATACACTGGACTAGATCCTCCAGAGGCAGGAACCTGACACTCCTGACCCCGTCTAAGAGCACAGAGATGGCCTCCTCTTTTCCCAGGCTTCCTTCCACCACCCCACATGGCAGTCACCCGCCCAGCTTGGCATCACACTCTAGGACACTGTTTCTTAAACTTTTTAAGATCGAGGAACACCAAACAATAACTTTTTTTATGGAGAACACCAAAGATTTTTTGTTAAGCAAAAAAAAAAAAATCGCCTGCCCCGTTAAAGGCGGCCATTTTGAATTTTGTTCTCCGTGGCATGTACCATGGAACACAGTTTATGAAACACCGCTCTAGGATGAGCTGGCCCACTGCGAGAAGGGTTCAGATAGTAACACACAACCATGGGGGTGCAATGGGTCACAGGGTTTCTGGTATCTAAACCAGCCCAGCAGAGCACATCCTTAATACAACTGCCCCAGGCTCTTTAAATTGCCACTGTGCTGCAGGAAGAGCAGAGGGCAGGTCACCCTGGATCTGCCCCTTCTTCCCAAGTCCCCACCCTTGCCAGAAGCGCCGAGCTGGGGCCCCTATCTTGCCCACAGGCCCCAGCATGAGGGCTGTCCAGCCTGCTTTTGAAAGCCTCCAGTGAAGGAAGGTCCCCTTGGCTGTGGTCTAATGGAGCCTTCATGGGCCCCACAGCTGGTGCCTCCCCTTGCTCAGAAAACCATTGGCAGGAGCAAGAGAGCAGCTCGGTGTCCACAGCTCGAGCCATTGGCATCTTCTAGCCCGTTTCCCAGTGGCAGGCTCCCCCCCGGCTGGCTGATGGGAGAGCTGCCAGGCAGTGCTAGGGCTAGGACAGAGGAGGCAGCCTCTGTCCGCAATGCGGAGCTAAGGGAGGATGCAGCCATCAGTGCACAGTAGCAATGCTCTGGGTCATTAGCTGCAGAGTAATTAAAACACTCGGCGAGCGGCGCTGGGAGAGTCTCTTCCCCGGGCAATCAAGACCCAGTGGGAGAGACGATTATGCAGCAAATCGCCATTGAGACAGCTCAGTCCTGCGGCTTCCCCTGCCTCCGGAGCA